GTCATTGAGTATTCACAACTGCGGGTTAGAACCGAGGACAAACACTCTGGCATAATCAACTCACAGTGTCAGATACAGTAAGATCTGCTCTGTGACAAGAGCAGCCAAAAAGGAAGAGGAGGGGGGAAAAGATGCAAATATTCTCACTGACAGACTCAAATAGATCATCCCGCCCATGCACACAAAGTGCATCCGCCAGCAAAAGAATAGGACTCTACTATTCACTGATCAAAACACCTCTTTGAATAACTATGGAAACAGAGTTTCCTCTATATGGCACGCTTTGTTGTTTGCCTGAACCATTGGGTTTATTTGTGATCAAACAGCTCGTGCACCCAGAAACAACGTGGTTCTTAAATGATTTAAGAAACATTTTCTGTCTGCATAAATGTTCAAATATCCGTCGATTTTCTAAGTGATCAGTCGAACAAATGGCAYGAAAATAAGTCAAAGTCATTTTGCTTTCCCCCCGGATGTAAATTATGTTAGAAATTTGTTGGTGGCAAAAGTGGACCGCGAGAATTAGCCGTCAATTTGAAGGAGAAATTGGAGTCAGTGGCTGTTGTGGAAGCATACCATGAAACAAACAAATGAGTTTTTCTGAYGATCACAGAAGAGGAGCTGCTGACACTCATTAGATGGAAAACGCTTTAAAAAAAAGAACAAGAGGAAGGGAATATTTGTGCTGAGGTTGAAAATTGCCAGTCATAATCAATTGTTTTGTCACAATGACCTTGTAGCAAAAAAAATCTACTTGGAGCCAGAATATCTGCTATTATTCTAAWAACACATTTAGACAGTGTTTGTTTATGTCATTTGTTGTTCTTTAAGAGATAACGAGTAATTTAAAGAACATATTCAGATTCTCAGAAAGATCCAGAACGCCAGACTATCCAAGTTATATGATACCATAACTATTATACTAAAACAAATTATAAATGATTTAATTCATCCATTCTCTTTACCCACTCTTCTGCTTTCCAGGCAGGGTACGCCCTGGACAAGTTCATCACAGGGACACATAGAGAAAACTAAKACAAACAACCATTCACACTCTCACTCACACCTTGGGACACTTTAGAGTTCCCAGTTATAACATGCTTGCTTTACCTGGAGAAAACTCACAGGTTAGGGTTGGGTGATACTGGCTAAAGTAATCACAATGAGTTGTGGCAATTAGCTGATAATGGTTAATATGACGATAGATGACATTTTTGCTTGATAGTGAGTGTGTTGCAAAATACGTCATCATGTGGCGCTAAAAGCTGTGATTGCAAAGTGGTGAATTTTAATTGGTGACAGTTTTTCTGGCAGTTAATTGCGCATGGTACCAACTCACATGTGCACAGGAGAGAACATCCCCTCCAAGTCAGRTGCTGATCCAGTGACCTTCACCTTTTAGTGAAGCTATTGCTATTTTTGTGTTTGTTAAATGGGACATAGGCAACATCTAATTGTTTGGCTATTAAATACATTTTTTGTGTACTTGGAGTCGCTACAAGTGCAGAAAAGTTGACCCCAGTTCTGCCTGGATATCTTTGTAAATTGTTTGGGTCATATTTTTCAACCTGTCCAGTTTTCTTTATTTTCTGTGACATTTTCTGAACTATGTCACAACATTTGTGACGGAACTGCCAAATAWAGACCAAACTATACCAACTACAATTTGGTGGTTTTCATTCTCCTCTGGCTCCAACATGTAAGACTGGATGGACAAGTCTTCCCTTGTTGACATCTTTTAATTAAATTRTAAATAAAATGTTTCTGCAACTCTAAATAGAAACCCTATATCAAACCAGAATGAACCACTCTGGAWGCTGGAGTTTGGCGGAGTGTGAAGCGCCTCGTTTRGATTTAAAGAGACAGCATCAAAGTGAGTTGATCTTGGACACAGCTCAGAAAAAGGGGTGAAAAGGGGCTTGTGGAGTTACAATAAAAAGGAATTTAGTCCACTTTATATAGACCCCAAATGAATATTAACCCACTAGGGGGCACTGTCGGGACAGTCTGCACATTCAGTGTCATTCATATATTAAYCCACTAGGGGGCACTGTCAGGACAGTCTGAAGCCATTCTATGGGACTGATAACCACTAATAACGTCCATTTAATGGACCGATATCAGAATCCGCTGAATGAATAAATTAAATGTGATCAAGAAGGATTTAAGGTCAAACCATTTCAAATCAAGTTGACTCCAAAAGCAAATCAGCTACTGATTATTTTTTGAGAGTTTCATTCAAATTTTTCCAGTGGTTCACAAGATTTTTTTTTCAACAAATAGACAGAATTGAAGCTAAAAGCTAAACTGGGCTAAATGTCTCTGAGTTTAGCGCAGAACTGTTTAGTTACTGAAATAGTTAAAGGGTCGAATACTTTTTACCCCTTTAAACCCAACAAGCTTCATATATGCTTCAAATAAATGTACCAACTTAATCATCCTTATTTACTTTGATGATGATGTCGTGAAACCTTCAGGTTATATATTTATAAAAGAAGATACAACTTTTATTTAAAAAAAAGTACCTTCAAAATTTCTAGCACCGCAGTACTCGAGTTCATCTTGTGGCAGGTACAAAGCCAAAGCATACCCAGGATCTGCTTGTTATTCCTCCTCCGTTGAAGGGAAAATAATGCGCTGTGCAAGCAAAAGGGATTGCCAGAGCTCAAACATTAAAAGACATTTACCTGAGTGATTCTGGATCCCTGTTAGAGATAAGTATAATTAGTTATGCACTGCATTTCTGCAGCTTTGTCCTTGTGTTTGTGACGTTCTTCGGTTCTAAAGGAACACGGGAGATGAGAGGGAGCTACAGTATGTAGGTGTCAGTTCAAAAGCACTGAACTTGTTTCTGCAGAAGCATGATTCCAATCAAAAGAACTGAATCACACGTGATGTCATGTTTGTGTTGGAAAGGGTTTAATTTTCTCCCCTTATTATGCTTAAACTCATACTCACAGGCTTGCATTAATTGGGATCCTCTGTAGAAAAGGTGAAKGGCACGAGCCTCTTGTCTTTCCATTACAACACCTCTTATTTGCTCTCACTTTATCTTTGTTGYCTCTTGACACAGAGTGGGGATTTAATAAGCACGCTTATTCATCCCTGATGTTTGTTCCATCAGTGCAAATGAAACCTTGGCTCCTGTAACTTTGCTTTTACAATTACTGTATCCTGCGGGAGCAATTTAACGTGGCTGCTGCCAGCCCTTAAAGAAGACAGACACGCTCGGCTACCTTTGATCACTCCCTCCCCACCSTCAACTCATGCACACACAAACAACCGAACAATGTATAATATAGGTCTCGCACAAAGWAAACTGCAAATCTTCCACATATTCTACCTGAAAGGAAGCAACAAACATCAGCAGCCTTTGCTTGAAAAAAACAAAAAGGCGAGGCTTCGAGAAAACCAAATGAACCTTTTGAGAAGCTTGTATTGATGTCATATTTATTAATTCTGACTTGTTTCAGATGCATTCACCGGATCAGAAAATGTCACTGTATTCCATTAGCATTTATACATCAGTGAACTATGAGCACACCTTGGCCACAAATAAAAATACAGCTTTTGTCTCTTACAAGGGKCTACAGTGCCCCCAAGTGGTGATTAGGTGAAATTCATCATTGAAGCACAATAGGGAAAAAAAAATCTACAATTGTTTTATTTGCCTCCTTGTTTATATTTTTGTTTTTTTGCAATGGTGTATTTATCTGTCTGTTACTACCC